GACGCGACCATCACAACATAATAGCCAAGATCACTCTGACAATAGATCACAAGGTCTGCCAGGCCTCAGCTTCATCCTAGTGTTTCAGACATTTGAAGTTGTAGGTCCAGTGTATAATGACCTATCTTTTCCCCGTGTTTGATTTGATGATGCCTTAATACGAAATGGTCTACATAATAGGAGCTTCGATCATATAGGACAGTTGGGTGGAGGGTTTCGGAACGCAATCCTGTCGTTTGAAATGAGGTTTGGTCTATGAAAACTGGCATATCTTATTCCGGGTTTGATTTTGATAGCGCCTTAACATGAAATGCTCTCATAACGAGCTTTGGGTCATATAGGTCAGTGAGGAGGAGGGTCTCTGTATTGTACACAATCCTGTCAAAAGTGTGAAATTGTAGGTAAAGTGTATGAAAACTGGCCTATATCTTTCCCCACTGGTTTGATTTGATGGTGCCTTGTATGAAATGCTCGTAATGATTAGAGATTCGATTTGTATAGGTCAATTGGATAGAAGGTCTCTGTTCTGTGCACAATCCTCCTAAGTATGAAAATATTCGATAACTTCTGCAGATTTTATCAGTTAAAATTGTCATATCATAAGGAACTCGAATAAAAGTGCTTGCATCAGCTACCATTGACAAATTATGTAAAAAACTTGGTCTGCCATTGCGCACTCAGCCGGAAGCTCAGTCCTTAGATGAGATAGATTAGGGTGTCGGAAGGGTATATTTGGAGGGGTCTCCAAGGACTTCTGGCAGAGTGCGCAATGGCAGACCAAGTTTTCTTAACATAATTTGTCAATGGTAAGCTGATGCAAGCACTTTTATTCGAGTTCCTTATGATATGACAATTTTAACTGATAAAATCTGCAGAAGTTATCGAATATTTTCATATTTAGGAGGATTGTGCACAGAACAGAGACCTTCTATCCAATTGACCTATACAAATCGAATCTCCTAATCATTACGAGCATTTCATACCAAGGCACCATCAAAATCAAACCAGTGGGGGAAAAGATATAGGCCAGTTTTCATACACTTAACCTACAATTTCACACTTTTTGACAGGATTGTGTACAATACAGAGACCTCCCCTCACTGACCTATATGACCCAAAGCTCCTAGTTATGGAGAGCATTTCATATTAAGCGCTATCAAAATCAAACCTGGGGAATAAGATATAGGCCAGTTTTCATAGACCAAACTCCATTTCAAACTTTTTGACAGGATTGCGTCAATACTGAAACCTCCACCCAACTGTCCTATATGATCTGAAGCTCTTATTATAGACCATTTCTGTATTAAGGCATCATCAAAATCAAACACGGGGAAAAAGATATAGGTCATTTTTCATACACTGACCTACAACTCAAATGTCTGAAACACTAGGATGCAAGTTTAGCCTGGCAGACCTTGTGATCTATTGTCAGAGTGATCTGGCTATTATGTTGTGGTGGTCGCGTCGTGGTACCGATGAGATAGTTTAGGGGTGTCGGAAGGCATCTTGGAGAGGTCTGGCAAGCACTTCCGGCAGGGTGCGCAGGCAGACCAAGCTCTTTACATAATTTTTAATGGTTAACTGATGCCAGCACTTTCATTGTGGTACCTTATGACATATTTTTACGAAAATGACTCTGAAAATATCGATTATTTTTATGTTTCGGCAGGGTTGGCTCTGGCAGACCTGGGTCATACGACTTGTTTAAGTCTTGGTTAACGATCCAAACCTAGCCTATCGTGGTACCTTATGAGATAGCCACTTACCCCTGGGCTCTGAACTAAGTGTTGACCCAGAAACAACCAAATTCTATGCCACTTAAGTCAAGGGCAAATTCATTAAGCTTATTATAACTTGTAGACGGTCGAAGAACAGATTATATTTGCATATTTGGTGTTCAGTAGAGTGCGCAGCAGACAAGTTTTTTAACTCAATTTATCATGGTGCTGATGTTGGCACTAAAATATTCGCATGATACGACAATATTAACGGCAAAAATCTGCAGAACATATCGAATATTTTCATGTTTAGCAGGATTGAGATTTTTCCGTTAACATTGTCATTTCACAAGGTACCGAATGACAGTGCCAGCATCAGCTACCATTTATAAATTGAGTTAAGAAAACTTGGTCTGCCATTGCGCACTCTGCCAGAAGTCCTTGGGAGACCCCTCCAAATATACCCTTCCGACACCCCTAACCTCCCAACTAACAACTTGGTCCTATAAAAAACAGACTAGAACGACTTTTGGTTAGTTAAAGGTCGTATAATGGTAAGCAGAATTTCACTGAGTTGTGTAGTGGTGTCTTATTCGACCTTTTAGTCGTAAAAGTCTAAAGTCGTATAATTTGGTCGAGTAAACGTTTATAGGACTTAATTATACGACTATCGTATAAAGGTCGTATAAATGATCGCTATACGATTAAATTATAGAACTAATCGTCGCTGTTGGGACCATTATATAACCTTCAGTCAGGCCACCGACTGTTACTAGATCATAAGGTATATAAAGGTCGTATCATTATCTTTCATAAACCGTATAGTCGTATACAAGCCGCCAGTGCGACCGTTATATGACTTTAAGTTAGTTCAGCGACTGTTACCAGACCATAAGTTGTATAAAGGTCATATAAAAGTCGAATAAATTTCTTGTCTAAATGTCGTATAAAAGTCGCCTTTGCGACTGTTATATAACTTTTAGTCATGCCACCGACTGTTACCAGACCATAAGGTATATAAAGGTCGTATTTCTTGTAATAAACCTCGAAATCATATAAATGTCGCTATAGCGATCGTAAGATGATTCTTAGTCAGGCCACCGACTGCTACCAGATCATTAGGTATATAAAAGTCTTATTATTTCCTTTAATCAACCACATAGTTGTATAAAGGTCGCCATGGCAATTCTTATACGACTTGAAGTCTGCTAGCGACTGTTACCAGTCCATTAGTTATATAACGGTCGTATAAAGGTCTTACCGTATTCTCATAAAAACGTTGCTGTTTCGACAGCTTTATGACTTTTAGTCATGCCACCGACTGTTACCTGACCATTAGGTATATAAAGGTCATATTATTGCCTTTAATAAACCGCACAGTCGTATAAAAATCGTTATTGCGATCTTTATATGACTTTCAGTCAAGCCTACAACTGTAATTTGATCATTAGTTATATTATGATCATATTATTACCTGAAACACAACGCAATGTCGTATAAACGTGGTGTAACATAACGATTAAACGACTGAAAGTCCTAAAAAGGCTATTTATATGACTCTTAAAAACCTTTTAATTGTTTAGTAGTCGTACATAATACTTCTTCACAACTACTTGACCTCGCTGTGGTGTGAAATATTGTGGGCATGGTTCTGTAGGTAATAAAATAGGAAATATATGTTCGAATGGACGGACAGACTGGATGTTTGTTTGTATGGATGAATGAATGAATGGATGGACGGACGGACGGACGGACGGATGGACGAATGGACAAACAGATGGACAAACAGTCGTAAAATTAAGCCAAATCCTTTGCAACACGATTTTGTGTTCAACAAAACGTGAGCCGCCAACCCCAGGTAATTGGGATGAGGGCAGGAAGATGGCATGGCATTGATAAGTAGATATGTGGAATTTACGATTAAATCAGATCACTACTGCCAGCCTTGAGAATAGTTCATCTTGTTGTGTAGTACACCACCGTACATTTTTTGTACGGGGCTATAGTTGGCCCTGATTCCATTAATCATGTCGTACTTCATTACCTGTCAGCAATAGTTATGCTGTACAGTACAATACAATGTCGTACATTATAGGGACTCGTCGCATCCATTACGGCTGGCTGACTATCACTTTTCTGACAGATGTTATCTTACGTCTCACCACGTTTTCTCCGTGGAATACATACAATGCACGATATACTCAATGCACAACACGATAATGCCCGACGACGTATTGTACAACAGAATAATGTACGGCATTATGGATAGGCTTGAAATAAGGGCCCAGACTAATAATGTAAAGTGCTGCAAATAGAATCAAACAAGTTACGTCACAGCAGATGAAGTGAAGTGACAGTGTTAGTTGTAATCGACTTATAAAGGGTGTTAAGAAAAGTGGTACGTTCCTTTATACCACAAGTTCTGTTACGTAGGTGTAACATAGTGTCTTGACCATATTGAAAATTAAATTAGAAATATTTTATATAAAACATAATTTAAATAAATAAATGTTATGTTCAACCCTAGGTCTGAGTGATAGAGCATCGTTACTGTCACGTTCAGCTAGGGTTGCACCGTTATAGATCTTATTACGCACTATGAAGGAACAGTGCATAAGTTTTTGGAGTGGTAATTGACAGTACATACACTGTAAAGCTCTCTGTGTCGCAAGGTTGAACTATTTGATTAAAAGAATTTAAAAATATTAGAACACCCTTAACATACGTTATTATACGATGGACAGACTACTTTTCCTAACTTTCTGTAGATTTATTATTCGAACCTAACATACAAGGCAACCCAGCTAGGCGGGACGGTGGTTTGGGGGGTGCAGCCCCCACAATAAAAGACCACCTTTAACACAATTCCAAAACAGTAGGTTAGGTAAGGTTGGAGTTGGAGCGAACAAATTGAGCGACTAAGCTCAAAAAATAAGGCAAATATTTAACACGGCAACTGAAATACTTTTTAGGCAACTTTCTATTAAGTCACAAAAAAACTAACCTGGCAGTGATTAAATATCTTAGCAACTATTAAACTATACAAGCAACAAAATTCTAGGATCAAAAAAACTAAAAAACGGCTGCTAGTGTAAGGTATCCTAATGTGGCGACTAATTTTTCCAAGGGGATATCAAACATTCTTCACTGGCAACTACTGGCTTTCATTATAAAAATACACATCTGGCAGTGATTTTTAGGTAGCTTTAAAACTGAAAATGGGAATTATAATAATGTATTTGGATATTAGAATAGTGAAAATAAGAAATAGAAAACATGACATGCATCGACCGGGGATCGAACCCGGGCCGCATGGGTAGGGTAAACACCCCACCGCTCTGCCACTGAGCTATCGATGCACGGCCGATCAACGCCAAATTTTCTATCTCTTGATGCTCGTCTCCAAGCGACGATCCAGCGACATCTGTAGAAAGTATTTAGAACTTACTACATGGTTAGTCCACATTATGAGTGGAATTCAAACCATATGATGAAGCTTGCTTAATCAATCTATTGGGATTGTAATGCACTCACAGTGCTATATTATTCTCACAAGTGAAAATAAGAAATAGAAAACATGACATGCATCGACCGGGATCGAACCCGGGCCGCATGGGTAAACACCCCACCGCTCTGCCACTGAGCTATCGATGCACGGCCGATGAACGCCAAATTTTCTATCTCTTGATGCTCGTCTCCAAGCGACCATCCAGCGACATCTGTAGAAAGTATTTAGAACTTACTACATGGTTAGTCCACATTGATGACAGCCCGCGACCCGTCCGACCAGAACCAAATTATCTTGACCCGCTGTCGTCTGCCTCGCCGCCGTCGCGCTTTCTTGGTGGTTTATTGTGGTTTTAATGTTATGAAGTTTATGATGCAGTATGGTACCCAATCTTTTTAAATAGAACAACTACTACTACTACAACCACAACAGTCCACTGCTGGACATGGGTCTCCCTAATTGGAGGGTATTGCAAGCGGATTGGCTAGCGCAGTGCAAGATGTTCAATTTACAGTGAACGCTACTGCCCATTCCTGGATGAATATCCCTTAGTCGCATTATACGACACACGCGGATAGAAATGGGGTGATGCTGTTCTAAGCCGGCACCACATAGCAAGGTAAACAGCAACAGATAGAACAACTATTGTATGATTATTCCACCCTTCATAATCGTAAGTCAGCAGAAGATACTAAATATTAGATAGGTAGTTAATTTCAGGGGTACTTATTAAACAAGCATCTTTTTATTAACATTTTGCTCTAAAAATATAGCACAGCTACCGAATTATTAACATGGCCACAAATAAAGTACATCTGAATAATACTATCTTCGCCACAAGATAACATAATTATTGGGAGTAAATTTTAATCCCGCCACTCTTCTGGGCAGACAAATTTGCGAGCGCAGTGTACGTAAGGTAAGGTAACATTATCATAGAATAAGTTGCTCTTTCCTATAGCAAATAGCTAATCAAGTGTTGAATAGTGATTTAAATCGTGTGGTGAGACCAATATTAAGGTAAATAGTTAAAAGACATAGGCACTTAAATGAATTCATTTTTATTATTTTAATTCAATATATTATTATGAATCAATAAGTCGCAGAATCATGATAAAATTAGGTTTTTAATCAAAACCAGGCACTAGTTTAAGTCAAAGTTATATAAAAGTTAAAGTTTATAATCAAATTCTTCCTAGATATTATATAAAATTGCTTTGTTTTCTGACTTTTCATGTTAATTTATAATAAGACATTTTTTTCACATTTTTGTCTTTTTTTCATTGTTTAATTTTAACAATTATACTGAATGCGAAAGGTTTCAAACATCATCGCCCGAAGATGCGAGCAATGACTTTCATATTAGATCCATTGTAACTTACAGCAGACGAGCTTCTCTTGAATAGCATTATTAACCTCTAAGATTCTAACTCAGCCACAATAAACGCGCCTCTCAATAAAACTATTTTAGCTGTCATCATCATCATCATCATTGGCCTCATAAGTCTGTGGCAGACGATTTATTCAGTGTCTTAGGCAAGATTTTTTATGGCTGTATAAGCCGATACGGAGCGGCATGACTTTCGCAAGCTCTATAAGTGAAGGTGGAATTGAGACTGGCACATGCATATTTAGATGTCGTTTTTATGCGAGACCGGCGAACCAGGCATCATCATGAGTTTAGCTGTAGCTTTATAAATATAACTCAATCAAAAATATTTCAAATTATTTCTTAGTAATTAACTGTAATCTTCTTTTTTTGAGTGGGACACCGAGTTGTTCAACGATTCAATGAACCTTCGCATAGTTCTGTAACGAGCGCCGTCTGCTAAATGCTTACTTTTTCAAGGATAGAATAAATTTTCGGGATATTGTAATACTATACCGAGTGATGCTAAAATTACAATGGCGAAAACCACGAGTGACTTAAAACCGAAAATTTGCTGGTGACATAAATCCAAATCTGATGACAACAAAATAAGTGGGTGTTGGGTGGGGACATAAATAATTACTGGAGGACTAAAATAATAGGTAGGCGTCTAAGATAATAAACGAGCATAAAAAGGAAGTGGGTGAATAAAAACATCTAACGAACCCACGACCTGACTAACCAGACCCGACCAACCTGACTCGACCCGCCCGGACCCGACCGATGCGACTCACCCGACCAACCCGACCCAAAAGAGCCGGCCAACTTCACCAACCCCACCGAATCAAGTGACTATAGTATCAGGCGTTACTGCGGAACTCCATCTTGAAGAAAGTGATAGAAATATGTTAAGCTTCTTCCGCACTTACGATGGCTAAGTGAACCACACGTACGACCGCAACTTAATGCAAATGTACTATGTACTAGCGATGCACTTCTACTAACTAGACTTTGTTCTGCCAGTACTTGGCGAGAGCAATGGCATTATCAGTCGCCAAGTTCAGATCTTCTTTACTGTAGGTGACCGGTAACAGAGAGCAAGCCAGTAAATGTGCCAAAGTTTGAGTTGAGTTGCTGTCGGCGAAGCCAATTTCACCATGTTTTCTCTGCACCGGCTAACCTGAATACGCAATCGGTTGAGCGATTTCCAGGTTTACCACGGTAATTTATACCCCGCGGCAGAGTCTCGAACGGTGAAATAAACCCGGATGGAGTTGGGCAACGTGTTTTCCATAACTGCTCCTTGCCTCTTGCGGAACACTGTCTGTAGAAGCCGTACACCTCAAAAAGCTTGCGGCTTTTAGGCGTTCAGGAGGCATTGAGTAGCTGTGTAGTGAGTGCTGAGGATCAGTTTTTTGTTTGTGTATCTCTTCTGCACAGGCTAATTCTCACCGAACGTCCAGTGGACCAATAGGTACCGCTAGAGAGTACAGCATGCTAAGCGGTGTCGGTTTCAGGCAGCCTGTTATATTACGACAAGTCTCATAAGTGAAACATCGACAACACTGCAACTAACGTTTTACACTATACGTGTTTCGCCTAACTACTTTCGTTGTTCTAAAAAACTCGTAGCAACGGTGAAGAGGAAACATTCACCTGCTCGTTGAAGATGATTCCAGTACACCCATGTCGTATTATTTCTAATTGTTCCAACACGTTCAGTCTTCGGCCCTGTTACAAGTATGTAAAACTTTATAGGAATGGATGTCCGCTAAACTGTGCCCAGAGTCTGCGAAACACGTGCAGAGTGTAAAACGGTGATTGCAGTATTAGTAAAGTGCATCGCTAGTACATTTGCATTAAGTTGCGCTCGTTCGTGTGGTTCACTCAGCAGCATAACCTGCCATAATTAGTGCGGAAGAAGCTAAATAAATTTCTATCACTTTCACCCACCGAATCAACCCGACCATCTCAACCTGACAAACCCGAACCGACCAACCCGATCAAACCCACCTGACTAACCAGAGCAACCTGACCAACTAACTTACAAGCCCGATCAACAACCCGATATTTGTGCGAATAAAATATATGCCCGTTTTTATAGGTATATCATGACCAATATGGGCATGTCATGAGGAGGGATGAAGAGCATGTAACAAAGATAGTAATGAACATGAATGTATGGATGGACGCAGAAGAGGAAGGCCTAAAAAAGTTTGGATGGATTGTATAAAAGACGATATGAAAAATAAAGGCGTAAGTGACGATTTGACTGCTGATAGAGATGAATGGAAGAAAAAGACATGTTTCGCCGACCCTAAATAAATTGGGATAACGGCAGGCAGATGATGAACATGCAATTAATTGTCACTCAAATAATAATTTGTTCGCTCAAAAAAAATTATCTGTTTAATTGAGTTTAAATTAGCTGGAACCATTTTGAAAACAACTAGGCGCTAGTTATTGTAAATATAGGAACAACTTTCCCCAAGGAACATAGGTCAAAATACGAAAAAAATTTTGGACCTCCCATAGTAACTGAAATCAGCTGATCGGAAAGTTTGTATGGGAGGCCCAAAAATTTTTTTCGTATTTCGACCTATGTTCCTTGGGGAAAGTTGTTCCTTATCACTAGCCGGTTCTGAGTTTTCGCTATCGGTCATTAGTAAAATTTCATCCTATATTTACAATAACTAGCGCCTAGTTGTTCTCAAAATGGTTCCAGCCCTCAGTAAAAGGTCCTGGAGCAAGATCCAATTTCTAAAACCATATAATAACCACCCGTTTTACGTATACTACTGAATTTGCTTATGTCAGGGTAATTTATGTGTGAATGGGTAAGTATAGTTGAACGTGTGATACAAGCACAATCATTAGCAAACTTGCGAAAATTCGATAGCAGAGCTCCAGGTTAGAGAACTCCGCGTTTCCTTGCTCGTATATGCAATTTTGTGATAGATTTTCTTTGTAGGGTGATGTCCAGGTGAGGGTCTAGAGGTAGACAAAACTTTGATCACTCCTTTTCTGTCCCGGTGACTCGCTTAGCTATGAATGTAGCTCTGGGAGCCAACTTGCAAATCGACCGGTATGTTGGACATAAGGCGCTAAATGTCTCTCTTCGTACCTCGACAGACGCCGAGAAGTGATTGAATACAGTCCGTTTTAGCACAAATAAAATAAAATAAAATCCGTTTCAGATTTTGTGGTCGTTGTTTTCAAATAGTTTAAATTTCAACGACTGAGGCAGTATTCGACAGCTAGCCACATCATCATTATCATCATCATCTTCATCAGCCCACATCCACCCATTGTATCTATACCAGCACTCTATTTCGACACTCCTCACGGTCCTGTGCTACTCTTAGCGCTTATAAATTACAGAATGATTGAAGAATTTCCTAAATTTCAAAAATACCCAGGGTCAACGTCACGTCAGCTGTTGTCATTTTCGCGTGGCGGGAAAAGCACGAGTGACATAGACC